ATGAAAGCCAACTTTATCCCAACATATATTTATTTAATTAAGAACTACTTCAAAATGGGTTTCACTCATTCACAGATATAATCTATTTTAAAGTTAATGGGATATATAGCCCACAGTATTATTAAATGCTTTATAAAATATTGTAGTCTCACAATTTTAAGCCCTACTTAAAGTCTGAATAGAAGAACGATTATATGCAGAAAATGTTGCAATTAATTAAGCAAAATCTTATCAATGTGTTCCTTGAGTTTATCTCCAACGAAATCCATACGCAAGTGAAATTAATTGCACTCCCATCTATAAGCCAACCTTTTGATAAATTTGATTGAATTTAAACGAATTGATTTGAATGCATTCCTTCGATTTGTTGCTTCAAATACTTTTAAGTTCCTAGCGAAACAGGAAAATATTATTTCAATCAAAAAAATTAAACGCCAATTCTTCAAAGTGCTTTAAATCGAAATGCAGAAAAGGAAAATGAAACTTTACTTATTTTTGCTAGCTCATTAGAAAAATTGACATACATATGTATGCCGGGCAAACAACAAGAAAAATGCCGAATGGCAGAAATAAAAGGAAAGCACGCGCCGGCAGCCTGAAAGGAAACTCGCATTTTCCGGCCCTTCGCCGTCGCTTATTGATGGACCGACTCGGGGAATTGATTAAAAGGCATTGTCAGGGCTGTGGGCTTAAGCCACGTCGCAGTTCACAACACACACGTACGCAGACGGACCTTCCACACATCTGAGTGTGTATGCTTATGGTTCATATATCTATATGCAGCACGGACTTTGATCTATCCACGGGCGAACGGGATGCGGGGTCGGGCCAGGAACTCGTCTAACAATTTGAAGCCCTAATCCGTTCCTCTAACAAACGGGTGGCGGGCCAAAGTCTAGCTCAAACTTAAAGAGCTCCTTGTCTACGCTTCAGTTGGCCAAGTGCAAACTGAGATTCATTCGAACTGGCACGGATATCACTGCGCACGTGTGTGTGTGTGTGTGTGTGAGTGTGGCGTATCTGTGTGCATGTTGCTTTTTGTGTCCTTTTCTGGTGTCGTGTTATGGTAATACGCATGGAGGCCGATTACACGCAACATGTGCAGGACGAAAAGGAGCTTTTCCCTGAAAACCGATCCACTGCAGTTCCTTTCCGATTCTTATTAGGAATACATATCAATCATAGTGACAGGTCAAGCCATTGGTTTTTATGCTTGGAGAATTTGTTTTAGCGTATGGTCAATAGCAATATAGTGCAAATATAAATGTATAATATAATGAAATAGACTTTAAGTTAGAGTACAAGGATAGTTTTGTACTACGGCAATTTTGAAGTCCTTTGAAAAATCGTCATATCCTCAAATCTATTACCAGCCTCTGGTATCTGAAGTTGATGGTCAGAAAGGACCCAAGCAATTGGCCCAAGAATCAGCTTGTGTGTGCGGGGACAAGTACAGAGTTGGAAACGCCAGCTGGTGCTGACCAGGAGGAGGACTCCTCTCCCAGGAATCCCATTAACTTAAATTGCATTTGACTAGGGTCGCATCGAGTTGTCTTTGAGCGAGCATCTGCCTTATTTGCGAGTGCTGATTTGCCACCTGGGACTTGCAGGCTGGTTGGCTGGTTGGCTGGTTGGCTGGTTGCCCGGCCATAATTCAATAGTGCATCGCACCGATGCAGCTGCAATTCTATTTGCCCAGTCCACATATATTGTCGCTGACTCGATTTGATGCGCTCCCAGTTAATCAATTGATTTTAGCATCGGCAACCTGGAGCAACCTGTTGAACTGTCGCCAGGCAACGATGTGGATGCCCCTCAATTGCTGCCCCTAATTCAATATGCACTGATTCTATTGCCGATGTCTGGTTCTTATTGCATTGCCTGTTCGATGATTTGTCGAGTTGGACTTGTGAAGAAAAGTAAAGTGAACCCTTCAGGGAGCAAAAATCAGTTTCCAACTGGGTAAGCAAATGTATTCCCCATACTCCGCGGAACTAATTAGTTTTTCTTCGAATCGGAAAGACCTTCATGACTTCGCTTCATTAAATTTTCAATTGTTGCCGCGACTTAATCAATTTTGATTGGCAAACATCGACTAATCCTTGGCACTTGCCGCCCAAACATAGATATTAATGGCCTTTCTCTGTGAATCTTAATGCCCGGCCATTAGAGGCGATTACCGTGCGGTTGTTTTTGTGGTGGCTGGGTATGTGGCACCCAACGGCGAGTGTGTGGTTAGTTTTTGTGGGCTGGCGTTTTACAGGAAATCAATGGGCCGACCGCCCAAGGGGCGTAAAATTTTATTAGCGCAAAATGATTTCATGTGCCAAATATTTGGCAAAATTGACGCCGACGATGGCCGAGCTGTCCCAAATGGCGTTGCTAATGGCCGACATTAACGGGGCGTATGCGCAATCTGCGTTGTCATGCAGGACACGCGTCCACACTGGAATTGGCTTTAAGTGCACTTTGGCCCAAATCCTGCTACAGTGTGTGAGCTTTTGCGTGTGCATGCAGTTAATGTCCGCTTATCGATGGGCCACAATAGCGATTACGTAGCACAGCTCTCCACATCTTTTTGGTGGAGTCTCTATGGTGCTGGATGAAATTGCTGGGGATTGTGCTTACCAGAAATAATTATTGTAATCTTAAGTTTCTGTGTTTCTCGGACGGAGAAATGTTAAGCTACAATTACAATTACAATTGTGCCGCATCTTAATATGCATGTTTCGATAAAAAAGTTATATATACCTCCTTGATAAAATGTTAACCCCAGAGAAAATTCTACGTTTTAATTTTATTTTTTTAATTCGCTTTCACAGCATCCTCAGAAGGCTCATTGGCTTAAAGATAGTTCCTTACGTCTGGTTGGGGTGCACAACTAAGATCGAAACAATCTGTTTTCTTGGCGTTGATCAGCCAGTCCGCAGTTTCGTATTGGTCGAAACTAGTCGTTTCGGCAGATTCAAAAAAGTACTGAAAGTATAAGTCCTCGATTTCATTGCAATCGTCATTAAATACTGTGGAAATGGTTGGAGTTTGAGTAATAAAGTAACTAAGTCAGTGATCCCACCGTAAAGTCTAGCCGAGTCTGAGCTGCCTTAGAGCCCATTTTATAGCCCATTTTCAGCAGAAACTTACTCCTTTCGTCTAACTGGGCTTTTGAATAGAATTATATTTGCTCGGAAATAAGTCCTTGCAAAAAACACACCATATAAAACGCGGTAACTAACCAACTATATACCAAATATATTAATATATTCCAGGTATTTGGTACAACAGTGACCACCGCGATTGGGTACGCGTTGCCGGACGATAGTACCCATTGTACCCTGTCAAAGGGTTGAGACCATCATCACTGCGCAAATCATCCTCCGCCAGCAGCAGCAGCATCAACAACGCCTGTCCCCCGCCGCCGCCCACGCCGCACCAAGTCAATCCCGCCAGCAGCAGCAGCAGCACTCCGCCCCATTCCAATTCAAATTCCAATTCCCAGCATCCGCATCCGCACCACCACCCACTGCCGCAGCACCCACAGTACCAGAACCACCAGCACAGGCGCAGCAGCAGCTCCAGTCACACCAGCCACGCGGAAAACTCAAGCGGCTTGGCCACGAAACCGGCCATTAATTTGCTGGCCAATCATCTGCAGGCCAACTACTTTGAGTTCCCGCCCACCGCTCCTGCCCAGGCGTCCTTGCACCACAGCGGGCGCACCGCAGTCTCCACGCCGTCCCTGAACTTGCAGCAGCAGCACCACCACCACCAGCACCACCACCAGCAGCAGCAGCCCCCCTGCACCACAGTCGGTGGTCAGTACAGCTCGGCTGTTGCCAGAGCGGCTGCCTCCACGGCCTGCGCGCTCCTTGCCACGTGCCACGTGTCTAGGGAACCCGATCAGGACTGCGCCCGACATCTGCAGCCCCCCAATCACCAGATAAACCAGCCTCAGAAGCCGGAGTACCTGCAGCCGACCGCAAGCAAAATGGGGCGACGCGAGATAAAGCGCTCTAATACCAGTGGCTCCACCACCAGATCCTACGACAGCGGAAGCGGTGAGTAGTCCACTCACTGAGAAAAACCGCCAAGCACTTTGAAATTGCCTGTATTGGGACTTCAAGATCGTTATAGCTGCTTGAAGGTTATACATTACTTAAATCTTTTGCAATTCTCCTAGAGGAGTTTTGTAAACCATTTAGGGATCTTTAAATGTTTTTTTTAACTCATAAATTATCTAGCATAATTTATTCTATGGCAATTCTAAGTACTGAAGACTCTAAGAGCAGGACTCTAAGATTAAAGGATTCGTAAAAGGGGAAACTACAATATCTAAAAAACGAAGGAAAATAACACAAAGACAGATATTTTCGAAAAATATCAGTTTTATGAAGTCTCTTTAGCCAAAATCATATAAATAGGTATGGATTTTTCGCGAAAAAGGCTTCAGGAAAACAAGTGCTGTGCATTTAATTCCTGCCAAACGTAAGCCGCCCCCAACAAAATACTTCAGGAACGGATCCATTCAGCTGAACACAACTCGAAACAGGGGAGGTGGGCGTGGCACTGCGTAATCGCCTTACGTCCTGCGATTGGGTCCCTGAATACCACGGGAAATGACATTAGGCTGGCAAATTAACTCAGCGGAGATTTGTTGTCAAGCTGTCGCTGTCCCGCTTTGTTCCTTTTCCAAGGACTATTTTCGAGAGGTGTACGGGTAAGGGACTGTAGCTGTCTATGAAAAAGAAATAAATGAGGAGAGGGGAAACCTTCAGCTGCGACCATCAATTGTACGGAAATTAGTTTCTAGACATGTAATTGGCTCTGCAGTAGTTAACAATTACTCCGAAATTTGTCCATTTTATCTGCAATGAAGTGTTGAGTTTAACTTAATTCAATCAGAAAACTTATACAAAGAGCAGTCATTCCTTCCCCTTTGAAGTTCAGAAAGCTATGAGCACAAGAGTTAACTTGAATTATAAATAAAAATCACCGAGTTTGTTAGTTCAATACAGTATATTCTTTAATAATTTGGCCAGCCCCACTGGCATAGCCGACTAGAAGGTATTTATTATTTTATATGTAAGTTCCAGGACTTATCCGTGAATACTAAGGGTGCAAATGGGGCTATCGAAACGCGAGGCTCGTGAAGCAGGCAACTTTGCAATGCATATGTGGACACATATGGACTCAGAGACATCCCCGTTTCCTAGGAGCAGGTGGAGACAATGGTCGAGATGCTTTCGCTGCAGCCGTGGTGGTGGAAGCAGTCGTACTGGGATCCAATATTTCTTTGGGCGCAGCAGAGCCTCGAGGCCCGCTGGCAGTTGCTGTTTTCCTGGTAGCCGATGTCCTGGGGAAACTGGAAGGCGTCTGCAAGGGAAGCGGGATTCGAATGTCGGTCTATGAATGGCGGACGTGGGTTTTGCGGCTTGCTTCGCCAGCCTTACCTTTCCTGGAGGACGGACGACGGGCTCGTATGGGTGGGGTAAACACGGGGGGTGAGAATCCGACTAGGGGCACGAGTTTAGCTGCAATTAAGAGGCATCAGCATGTAAACCATGGGCTAAGGTGCAAGTTGGTGGGTGCTTGATGGTGTATGACTATGTTTGTGTGCACGCGCCAATTGGGAGCCTCTGTTTGTGAGCTCCATTAATGAACAACGCTATTGAGTTTGGGCTTTAATGAACAACCGCAGCTGGAGCCAATACACCGCGATATATAATTAGTTTCTTACGTTGACGTATTAGTTTCATTAATCTAATACTTAAGGATATTATGATTGATTAACTCATAAAAATAAGTATCTGCAATTTCCAGTTACTGAAGCCCAGGAAACAACACATTTTAAGAAAAAAGTTACTGAGCAAAAATATATTATAGATTACCCAATAGGATGGAAATCTTTCCTTTTTAAGTGAATTTCGCACTATATCATTCGTTCTGTGTACTTCTACATGCATGTGCCAATTATGGAGGAACAAGCTACATAATTATATCCTTCAGTGTGTTTCCAAAGCAATCCAGCTGCAATTGGATTTGCAGGTGTAAATTGTGTTCTGCGGCACGTTATAGACGGCCAATTAAAAGATATGGCATCAATGGCCAGTGAACTACTGGCAGCTGGTTAATTGATATGGCTAAAGGGATTGTGTAATTGCAATTGAATTGGGAGCGGATTACATGTCTGGACACTCGATTGGCAACCAATTAAGCAAACATATTCAAGTCGTAAGAGTAAATGGATCAATTTTAATTTGGTTTTTGGATGTAACGAAATGAATGCGATAAGTGACAGCGCAGCTGAAAAAATAAATGTATGTAGCTGTTGGAAACCAAACCCTCTGTTAGTTGTCTCAATCACCGGGTTATGGAAGCTTTAATAAAAGGAAGAACAACATAAAAGGATGGTACAGTCGAGTGTTCCGACTGTGAGATACCCGTTACCGTATCTACGCACGCTTAGTAATCTGCACATTACATTAATGGCTAAGGATAATGTGCAAGGCATCAACATTTAATTGAGCTTAGCCTTTATCCATACGAGTAACGAATATAAGTAGCATAGCTCTTCAGCATTTGGATACTCTTCAATATTAAATTTAAAAGGTTTAATTATTTATGACAGCATTTTAGTGATACTGCTTTAAGATTCGAAATATTGTTATGCAAACATTAATGCATCTAAAATGCTAAGCCGAAAGGTGTATATTTACAAAAGCGTTAACTTAATTTCTGTTTAAAATAAATTAAGCTTGCGTCAGTGGATCAATTCAGTGCTCATTGGTTTGGAAGGCGTCCAGGACCTTGGTGAGCGCACCTTGCTTCACGCCTTCATCGGCACACGGATTGATGTCCCAGAAGGCTCCATGGCATCCGAACTCCTCGAAGCAGTTGTACCGCACCTTCTTGCTCTCGCTCGTGCAGCAGTTGACGATCGCCCACACACACTTGCTGACCTTGGGCTCACTATAAGCCACCCCTGACGGTGGGGGCGGCCTTGAATTGGGCCGGATGGTGGGGAGTCCCACAACGGGGCTCCGGGTGGGTGGTGGCCGGGGTAGTTTGTTCGGTGGACGCCACGATGGTGCCGATGGTACCGATGGTGCGGATGGTGCCCATGGTGCCGATGGTGCCGATGGTGCCGATGGTGCCGATGGTGCCAACGTCACTATTCAAAAAAGTTGGTAAGAGGTCAGGTCGATTGGAAAGATAAAGCGATAGTAAGAGAGAGCAAATTTAGTGGCGGTTAGCAGGCGAAGCCCTATGTGAATCACATTCCGAATGAGCCCAATCATTTTGAGTACTTAAAAAATTGAGGGTGTGTAACTCAACTTACCGAAATCGCTATCATTGACTTGAAAGCTTGGCCTTGGAGTGGTAGTCGACGAACGGTTGTAGATTGCAAAATCCGCATCCTCTGGATTTGAATTGTGTACCAAATCGAATTCACCTCTAGGACCAACTATGTCTGGTGTTGGGATATTCTCCTGGCCCTGGTTCTTACGATTCGAAGGCCCCACCAGATGGGGTTTCTTACCCTTCACCGAATACCGAATACTGAAATGGTTTGGGGAAATAATCATGTAAGGGCTTATCCATGCCACTGCATCTGCATTCCTCTTACTGCGGATAGGATAATGGCGGCACGAATTTTATTTCGGGAAGGTTGTAGTAGTACTGAAGGACTTTCTCATAATTTGCAGGAGCCTGTCGTCGCTGTCGACTATGGTACTTCTTGGGATGCTTGGCCAGCCACTCTTCCTTGATGGGTTCCGCCAGTTGTGCAGCCTCAACTTTGCGGGGCGGGAGAGCCTTCAGGTCTTCCTCCAGGACGATCGGCTTGTCGGGCAGAATGTCGAAAAGGATCTGGTCCTCCTTCTTTTCTATTACTTGCTTCGCATGATGGTGACGCGTCCGCTTGTGCTTCTTGTGGTGACTAGGACTCGATTCAGTTTTGGTTGGATCTATACGAAAGATAAAATTGTTAAACATTTGCATATTACAGTGGCAGATTTCTGAAACATAAATGCGGTAGAAAAAAGTCAGAGCATGGCACATTTGAATGAAATTCTGTATTTCGTTTGCAATATACTTGTAAGTTCCTCCACTATTCTTACCATAATCCTCGCTGACGAAGTCCTCCTTATACATGATAACCGGATGATCCTCCTGCATGACACCGTTCACTATTTTTACTTTATGGATCTGCCAAAAGGGAGATTGTTAGGAACGCCGGATTGGATTTCAGCTCGACCCGAACACAAACCTCCACATTGTCGGCATCGGGCGGAATGATGGCCAAGTCGCTCTCGTCCTCTGTCGAAGGACGACCGGTGGTCCGGGCCACAAGGCAGAGCAGCAGGACAAACAAGAGAGCCGGAAGTCTGCGGCTGGTGCTGCCACTGGACAGCGAAGTTCGATTCATCTCCTTCGCTTGGCTGGCGGGTCTGCAATTGGCAGCCAGCAAAGATTGTGCATTAGTTCAACTTTGTTCCTGCAGTTCAATCTCAATTTTGTACTTGGCCATTTCCCCCCCAAAAAACACAAATAACATTCCCCTGAAACTCAAAACTCAAACACACATCAGGCAGGACAACCACCGTTGGCAAAGTTTTGAAGTTGTAAATTTTGTTGCGGTATCGTTTTGGCTTCTGGCTTCTGGATTCTGGCTTCTAGCATCGGGATCAGGATCTGGCTTGGCTCGGTTTGCCCCGGCTTGGTTTTGGGGTTTGTTTTAAATTAGACATCAAGTTGAGTTCAATTTTTCTTGGCTTTTGCTCCGTTCTGCTCTGTGGCAAACTTTTGAATTACTTTCGTTGGCTTTCTGTTTTGCTTTTTATCCCCCACTCGCCATCCCGATTCTTTATTTTATTTCCTTTTATATTTATTTTATTTTTTCTCGGGCACTTCGCAAGCTGCCAGTCGTAACCCAATGAGGTCCTGTTCCCTGAGCGTTTTCAAGCGGAAAAACTTGTTCGACACCGCACACAATGGCTAAGCACTCTAGCCTTTTAATATTCCAAGGCCCACTATTTCTGTGCTATTTCTGTTGCTGCAACTAACCGGCTACTTAATCGATACAAATTCTATTTCCACTACTTCCGATTGTGTTCTTACTCTTCGAATGTTGCAATCAGACTGCAGCAACTGCTTAAATGTGCTCTTTTATAAGTGAGATAATACAGCGATGTCTCATTTTCTCAGCTGCGATAAGTGAATACCTTCACTTTGGCAAACAAAATATCTTGAGCTTCTACGTCATAGATAAAATAACAATACAATTATTTAGAATTCTTATGAAAAAGTACGTAATTTCACAATAATTTCCCTGACAGCTGTGCTATTTTCAGAGTGGCTTGGTCAAAAAGCATTTGAATCATTGGTACACATTGTAGTTGTTGACTTATAAGTAATAAATGTTCATTCTGATATTATTGGCTTATGAAACTTCCTTATCAAAGTAAACATTTTGTTGATTCCTATTTCCCTTTTCGTGGTTTGTGGCTCGTCGGATCATTTTCTTTACTAAGTAGAACATTTGAAACAGCGGGGAAGCGCTAACAAGACAACCAATTAGAGAAGAAAAAGCATTGCCTTACCAGCTGGGGAGAAAACCTGAAACCGTAGGAGTCCATCTAGCGGATATTGGAGGGAAACGAAGGGGCGTGGCTAGGCAGATGATTTATAGACTATGGTACATAATAAATCCCCCGAGCCCTCCATCAAACTCAACATTCCGCATGAAAATCGGACTTTTAAGTTGTGCATGTGTAATTGAAAATTACTTCACTGACGAGTTGCATAATTTCATTTGCACGTAATAATTACAAAACTGTTTGCATATTTTGTCCAACAATTTTGCGGTGATTGCCAAACTCCAATTTGCTATGAATCAGAGGGGGAAAACGGAAGGCAGACCCAATGCGAATAAACCAAAATAAATTTGGCAAAATGCATTTCCTTCTTCCGGCAGCTGCTGTTGCCCATAAAAGTATGCTAACGGATTCGCCGATGCAACTCCATATACTCCATATTGCAATGCATTGTGCTGGGGATATCCCCAACTCACACACACAGGCAGTTTTATCCAAATCCTGGGCAACGGGGGGCTGAGCCACACAAGTAGCCCTGTTTATTGAAGCTGAAAATATTGGGTCAGAACACGACCGGCAAGAGTAAAAGAACCTGCACTATAAGAACAGCACTAAAACTCGATTCCCGAATTTGTGAATAGCTAACGGAAATTGTAAGTTTGTTGGGGAACAGCCGCCCCCATTTGTTGCTACAAAAAAGGCAATTCGAGCGTGCCACAAGTGGCCGATGTATAAATGAGCATGGAAAACAAGCTGGCAAAAAAGGGAAACAAAAGCGGGAGGCGCCGCATCATAAATATGAATAAATGGAAAAATATGAATATATGGAAAATAAAAGCAACAAGCTCACATGCTGCTTTCCTCTTTACTGTCTATAGAATTCCTTTTAAATATTCAATTTAAATATTATCACTGACAGTGGGAACGATACCAAAAAATTCGCACTTAATTGGTTTTCTGTGAAATGTTCTATATTCAGTTCGGATGTTTTTTTACAATGACCGCAATTTTCGGGCATTGACAGCTTGTCGACTTTTGTATTATTTTTAGTTTTTTTTTCCTTACTAATACAATTTGCTGGGCCATATGTTGGGTACTAGTTTGCATGAGGTATATTTTTAGCACGGTTAACTGAATAAGTGGCAGTCCTGCCTAATTGGATTTAGTTGATGTGATAAAAAAGGGAATAAACCATCAATATTTCGGTAAAGGAAAACCACTGACAGGCCATATGAAATATGGCGCTTTTAAGCCGAAGCCCAATGGTGCATTATTCATAGCACGATTGGTGTCCACTGACAATTTCAATAATTACATGCAAAGTCCTTGCAGCTCTCACCTCAGCGACCATTTGTGGCGCTTCACAAAGGCAAATTAAATTTGAAGAGCATGTGCCACAACACAGTCCTCTCCCGAATCCTGCCACCCACATCGACACCGGTGGCAAACCTTGTTCCATATACGGTCCGTATTCAACAGGCCACACATAAAGCCGAACGTCGATTACCACTCATTAGAAAGTTATCGGCAACGGGCGAATGCAATTTAACCTACGGCCACCTGAAGCCCAGCTGAACCCGGGCGAACTGTGACCTGGGCCGGAACACGGAGTCGCTGCCCGTAAGTGCGGCCATTGTGGCCCCGAAAAGATGATGTGGGCAGCCAAGTGTGGCACACCTCCTGCTCGGGTCGCCGACAAGCTGCCAACGAGGTCGATTACACTGGCCAAAAGCAAGAATGAATTCAAGGCAAGCCACGAAAAAATTTCAAATGCTTTTGGGCGGCAGTAGACATGTTTTAAAATATACAATCGATTTGGAGCCATCTAGGTATTTTATCTGAATATTTTAAAAATCTTAAATTACTAAGTAATTTGACTACATAAAGATTATTTATTTATAAGAGAAAATAAATGGAAAATATTTCCAGTATAGCTCTATCAAATCTTAGTAAAATTGTATAGTATTTTTTGAAATATGCTATTACTTGCAGCCCATTTAAACAAGATTTCAGATATCTAAAGTGCAAAACGAAAATAAATATTCAGAGATGCATACATACTTATCGCCCGAGTACTTCAAACCATCGTTTTATTGTGCCTTAAACACAAAAATGAATTTTTATGGACTCGTAAAAGTAATTTATTGATAACCAATCTCTATGAAAAAATCAATTTGCTCGGACACCAAAAAGCCCAAAGTTTTACTGCCCAGTGTCGTCGAAGCAACATGTTCCGTGGCCTCCTCCTTTAGATAATTTGTTTTTCTGGCCAGTAACTGGATAGCGGGCAAAGCCATAAAGTGGCGCGGAGAATCAGATTTCGTTAGTTTCGTTATTTATTCAAATACAGGTATAGATAGGGTATACTTGAGCGGTGGGGCTGCGCAAACATCCGTAAATGTTCGATCGGAGCCAGGGCTGCTAATTGATATGGAAATTTGGTTTCTGGCCCCGGGCGAGCAAGCACAAACTCATCAAAGCCGGAAAACTCATTGCAGATGCGATTAAAGGCAAACACAGTGGGGAAAACATGCAGCGAGGTAAGAAGATGCTTCAATCGGGACTGGCCTCGTGCCATATTGAATCGACTGTTTGCTCTGACCTAAAAATACGCAATAAACGGCTTGGCTTTTTTCTTGGTACGCTCATCATGACGCCGATGCTAATGATCAGCAAAAAATTGTGAGTAAATCCCCTCTCCAAATATGATTATTTAGTTTTTTAATACTTTTTGTGCGTACCGAGTGTTTGCGGTTCGCCCTAATAGTATTTTCTTCGCAAGAATTCCCTCATAAATTGCTTATGCCAGAGCAACACGTGGCGATGGCGTTAGATGTGGTTGACTTTGTTCCGCCTAATTGGCTTAGAGCATGGCGTCGCCACAGAAGCGAAGACAGACTTATCATGCACATTTCCCCAGCTCTATTTAAGTGTCAAAGTGTCACACATCACGGGAGTCACGTAGATGCAACGGCAAGAGAATGCAGATGCCGTCAGGTGGTGGCATCCACATGAAAGCAAACCCATTCGAAGCATGCTGCATAATTGTGATGTTCCGGTCGATGTGCGATCAATGTAGGTCACTCCTGCTGTGCGAGTGCAAGGGTGATTGTAATTAAGGTTGCACCGACCACATGGCGAATGCGTAATGCGATTTGGCCGCTCAATGGTGCGTATACGTAACATGGCCCTGGCCTGCTGTCGCCCGCCTTTTTCGTTCTCTGTTTTTTTTTGTCCTCGCCACCAAACTTTTGTTTCGGTGTTTTTGTTATTTAATGCACACAAAAAACACCACCATTGTTGCCGTTTGTGATTTTGATCTGACTGGAAGCCTGCCCTGCAGGCCAACGGCAGCCAACTTTTCTTATTATTGTTCAAAATGAAATTTATGCGGCACGCACACTCGCACACACACAGAGCAAAGTGGGGCATCATCAACCAGTGGAAAACAATGCAAGTGGAAAATGTTTTTCCCCATTTCTGTCATGTTTTTGTTGCCCATTCCGGGTCGTACATTGCAATGTGTTTCCATAAAACATCTGGCCGAGATGAAGGAAAGAAGGCACTAAAAGACACGTTTCAGTGATCCGTTGCATCGAGAAATGTGTTTTGGCTCCACCTTTGGCCCAAGTCAAGTGCCTGTGTGGGCTGGCCGATGTTGGTGGCCATCGAAACTTGCTTATCAAGGTAGCTGGCTCTTTCAACATCCATCAGGGACTTCGGCGCACAAAGGATGGCCAGAGCAGCATGTATCGCAACTGTCATTGGGCTTTGTCGTGTATGTTCTGGTTGGTCCTAGCTGATGGCAACAAGCAGGCACAATAACGAGGGAAACAAAAACAGACTGGCTGACA